GTAAACTGGAGGTCGCGAGTTCGACTCTCGCTGGAGCCTTGGAGACAACCAGCACTGAAGTAAGTGAAGTTACGATGAAGCCGGAACATCACCGTATCCGCCAAAAGCTCACGTTTTCTGCTTTGCCCCTTACCAGGAAACAATTTGCATGCCATCTGCGGAGGGGCTCCTTTAGAGCACAACGTTGTCAGTACGAAGCAGTTCCGTCAACTTTTCATTAGTATAAGTGTGAACAGCTTCCACGTGGATAGACATGACTGAAAGCCAACCCTGTTTTTGATTGGCAGAAATTAAAGCACTTGCACGAACAGAAATTTATTGATACACATACGGAGCTACAGAAAGAACAGCTCCAGTGTAAACGGCTACGTGAAGTTCTGTAAAAAGCTTTATAGGAATAATTTTAGCGCTGCTGAAACAGATGAAAGTACAAACACTGATACGGGTATCCTAAGGTCCAGAGCACACCACTCTGCGCGCTAGACGATTTAAAGCGGCTCATGCGTGTGCTTCATGGGTTAAGAAGTTTCGGGAATTAATAAAGAATACTGCAACTGTTATACTACAGTAGCTGCTGTTGCTTTTTCTTGTGCGATGAACGTAGCGACGCAGATGAGCTACACGTGGCTCCATAGCTCAGTTGGTTAGAGCGCCAGTCTAGTAAAGTGGAGGTCGCGAGTTCGACTCTCGCTGGAGCCTGGGGAAAACCAGCGCTGAACTGAGGAAGGTCATAATGAGCCTGGGAGATCAGTGTGTTGAAAATCTCTAAAAGATTCGCTTTTGCCGCTTTGCGCCTTCGGATAATGTAATTTGCATATCATCTGCAGAGAGGATCCTTAAGGACGTAGCTTTGTGTGCAGGAAACGGCAGTTACCTCAGTCTGTCCTCTTATTAGCATAACTGGTCAGCTGCTTCCATTTGGATAGATATGACATAAAGTCAACCCTGCTTTTGATTGGAAGAAATGAAAGCACTTAAATGAACGGGAAACTATTAATGTCCGTACGCAAGCACAGGCGGCACAGTTCCATTGAAAACGGCTACGTGAAGTTCTAAAGAAAGCTTCTTTTAGAAATAATTTTAACGCTGCTGAAACACATGGAAATACAAACTCAAATACAGAGACCCTCAACTGCTGAACGGGCCATTAGGCGCTAAACCATTTTAAACGACTAAGCCGTTTGGTTTACTTGTTCAAGCTGTTCCGGAAGTTAATAAAGAATACTGCAACTGTCATACCACATTAGCTGACGTTGGTTTTCATTGTGGGATGAGTACGGTGACAAAAATTGGTTTAGCGTGGCTCCATAGCTCAGTTGGTTAGAGCGCCAGTCTAGTAAACTGGAGGTCGCGAGTTCGATTCTCGCTGGAGCCTTGGAGACAGCAAGCGCTAAAGTAAGAGAAGCTACGATGAAGCCGAAACACCACCGTAACCACCAAAAAAATCCCTTTTTCTGCTTTGCGCCTTAGCAAGAAAGAGTTTGGATACCATATGTGGAGGGGTTCCTTTAGAGCAGAATGTTGTGAGTATGAAACAGTTCAGTCAGTCTATTCTCTTATTAGTATGAATGTGAACAGGTTCCAGCTGGATAGATATGTCAGAAAGCCAACCGTGTTTTTGATTGGCATAAATTAAAGCATTTGCAGGAACAGAAATTTATTGATGCGCATGCGCAGCCACAGGAACAACAGTTCCAGTGTAAACAGCTACGTGAAGTTCTGTGCAAAGCTTTATAGGAATAATTTTAGCGCCGCTGAAGCAGATGAAAGTACAAACGCGGATACGAATATCCTAAGGTCCAGAGCACACCGTTGTGCGCGCTAGACGATTTAAAGCGGCTGATGCGTGTGCTTCACAAGTTAAGTAGTTTCAGAAGTTAATAAAGAATACTGCAACTGTTCTTCAAATGTTTGCGGTTTTCAACAAAAACAAACAAAACCGCAAACATTTGAAGAAAAATTTAATACAAACCCGTTACAAAGAAAAAAAGAAAAAGAAAGAAGAAGAAAAAGGTCGAACTGCAACTGTTGTACTACAGTAGCTGATGTTACTTTTTCTTATGCGATGAACATCGCGACGGAAGTAAGCGACACGTGGCTCCATAGCTCAGTTGGTTAGAGCGCCAGTCTAGTAAACTGGAGGTCGCGAGTTCGACTCTCGCTGGAGCCTGGGGAACACCAGTCGCTGAACTGAGGGAGGTCATAATGAAGCTGGGTGATCAGCATATTGAAAATCTCTAAAAAATTCGCTTTTGCGGTTTTGCTCCATTGGATATCATAGTTTGTATACGGTGTGCAGAGATGATGGTTTAGAGCCCATGGCGGTGAGGTGGAAGCAGTTACGTCTGTCTGGTATTCTCTTATTGATATGACCATGAACTGATCCTACCTGGTGGACATTACATAAAACCAGTCATTTTTTTGCTGCAGAAATGAAAGCACTTGCATGAGCAGGAGGCTAGTAATATTATGGAGGCACAGACAGGACAATTCGATTAGGAACAGCTGCGTGAAGTGCTACGCTTGGATTTTCAGAAATAATTTTAACTCTGCTAATACAGATGGAAGTACAAACGTGAATGCGGAAATCC